AAAGAGTGGGACACAGAAGTGTTCCAGCAGGCCCGAGGTTGTGCGCCTTCTGCATCCAGCCCCGTAGCGGTGGTGACTGCAGTAGATGATCGATCCTTTGTAACGTATCCTCTGCAGGATGCAAAATCCTCCCAAGTTACGTATATGTATGTATAAGTATATTCTGTGCATATATATGCGTATTACAAACATAAGTAACATATATATGTGTGCCAAGTATGGTTCGGCACGTTGGCGTTCTGATCTGGATGAAGGGTTTTATTACATATAGTTCTCTAAGTCCAAAGTATTCAGATCCAGGTCTTGACCAGCAATGAAATTATGATTTTTGTTTAGGTACAGATTGTGGCTTTGAACATTTCAGAGCTAAGTTTACTGGCTGAGGCCTTTCCCTTGCATATTAAAGGCTTGGTTTCAAAGATTTGTGCATTGTAGTGATTTGGGAGTTAAGAAATGTTAAAACTATGTGAGTAGCTATGTAGGTTTGAATGAGTTTAGCAAAACTTACTGGCTTTAGAAAATGCAACTGTTTTTCTTCTAAGGTGTATCCAGAAAGCTAACAGGTAAGGAAAACAACTTGCCCATCCCAAAGTTTTGTAGAATCAGCCTGTTAAAATCAAACTTAATTTAGGTAAAGAAATCATTCCTGGTTTTAGGTGTAATACCTTGCTTTGACTCCACAGAGTACATCTAAGGACGTTGTAGCAGTAGGTTTTTGTACTTATGCAAATTGTTTTTTAACAGACACTATTTTAAAATTCTATAATGAAAGTATTTATTAGCAAATAAATATAAAATCAATCTCTCTAGGGCCAGGAGGGGATTGTGGTGGTAGTTGTTTTACCTTACTTGTTTCTGGCAGTGACATGATGCTGTAGTATTTAATAAAATATAATTTCTGCAGGGGTGGGATTTTGACGTCCTTGAAAGTATTAGCACTTATAATGCTGTATAGGTTAAGGACTGAATAATGCAGTGAAAATAAGTCCCAAGGATGTAATTATAGGATCCTGTTTGGTTGTGTACTGCTTGTCCTGCCAACATGAAGAAGCAGGCACACCGAAAATAATATAGTTGGAGAAATTTGAGGAATATAATTGGGGTGTGCTGGTGAGACTGATACAGAGCAGACATCTCTCCCATCTCCTCTGGCACCCCACATCACTTTATATCACTCATTTGAAGATGTCTAGGCATTTCTTTAAAATTATCCAAGTTGGAGTTGAACCAGAGAATGGGAATAAATTATCTGTATCGCAGAATTCCTCTGTCTTTTAAAGATGCTTACATTCAATGTTAATAATGAAGCTCCTAATTTAATTCAGTACATTGCTGCTCCTTGTAACCAGCCATATATTCTCTACAGTCCTGTATGTGCTGATATACTAGAAAATGATGCATCTTGTTTATTAGTTCAATATCATCAAATAACCAGGGGAATTCATGCAGGAGGCATTTTTACACAGGGCTTTCTCCTGCAAAACGACTCCAGCAATGCCAATGGGAGGTTGCATATTTCTGTCTCATACAGTGAGAGCTAGGTAGAAATTGGTTTTGATGAGCCTTCAAGTGCAAACACAAACTATGTGGAGAGGACTTGCTTTCTTGTGCATCATTCCCAGCAGCAGTGGCTTAGCAGACCAAGTTCATTGGTACTTGTTACCAACTCTTGAGTCTTTTGTGTGTTTTCCAGATACAGCTGGCTGGAATTTGTTCAAGCGTTTTATTTGTACAAGAAAGGAACACCGTTCCCTCGGTCTCTCCCTTGCCAGTGTAGCTTGCCACAGTTCCTATAGGATGAAAAAAATGAGAAGATAGCTTTGAACACCTATGTGGAAGAAGTCCTACAAGGACAGATCTGAACAGTTGTTTTTAGGAGTTGTGCTGCTGCCTTCTTTTCATTTTCAGTGTGATAAATGGGATTTTGCCTGCTCATGTGGATTCTCTTCAGAAATTAAAGCTATTGGCTTCCAGCGTGGACACACATTTGAATGTGATTGAGCTACAGTTGAGTTACAGCTCAAGAAATCCCACTTCCCATCGTCTTAGCTGCCGTCACAGTGTAGGTGCATGCTCCTAGCCTGTCCGCGCTGTGCAGGAAGAGGTCGTAGCTCAAGGCGCGACGCACGGTCCCTCAGGTCTGGCTCAGCGGTCACCTGGAGTCCAGCAATGCCATCTTCCACAGCATAGCTTCAGTGATCGTTCTTAGATTCAGTGATCTTACGTTTACAATACAACAGAAGAAAAGACAAACAAATTACACGACAGTGTGGTTGGAGACCACAGTTTTTAAGAGACTGAATGCAATCTTTTAAGATACATAGAATTCCCAAAGAGATCTTTCTTACTTCTTAGTTGATGCTATCCCATCAGATACAGATTGCAACTTTGTAATCTTTATGTGGGCAAACAGTGGCAGTCTAATTCCTAAATTTGCTTTCTGTTCCTTATTTATGACAAAATGTACTGTTATCTTAGCAGTGCTACAGACCAGATCGTAGTAACGTCAGTAGAAATATGTAATGTGATATTTGCTAATAGCATATAGTGTAGCTCGTGAATATTTGGCATATTCTTCTTCCCTGTTGCTTTGTAGTTTAAAGAGAATTTTCTCATTTGAGCTTGTCACTTCTGATGCCGATTCATCCTTTAATGTCTTCCAGCTTGCCACTTTAGAATTCCCTCCAAAGAAGCTCTTTGGAAACAAGGATGAACGAGTGATTGCAGAACGGCGGAGTCACTTAGAGGTAATGCCAACTTTTTATCAGGCTTCTGCGGTGTATTTAAGTGGAGTACTCTGCTTGACCAACAGAAACCATTCTCATATGGTCAAAGTTAAATAGCCTGCTTGTGAGTATGAAGTTACTTGCTGCCTCGTTTAACACGGGAGATGGCAGCAGTAGATTGCAAAGTAATGAAACATGCCTTAAAAAAAAAATTAATCCTAGTCTAGGAAAAAACCCATCCCTTTAGAGAGATTCATAGGAGGTACATTTATTTAAGGGGGAAAGGTTGTGGGTGAGGTAACTGTTCACTGTAGACAGATGGTCTCTGTGCAAGACAAGATTAAAAAAAAAATTGCTACTTTAAATGCAATTTGTTAGCTGAAGATTTACTATTTTATCATAGTTACTATATCCAAATATCTCATGACAGAAGGAAAGTCAATATTTAGGCATCTTTGAGCTTTATTTTGTAACCCAGCTTACTGAATGTATTTTTTTCTTTTAATTAGTTTTAAAAATTAATTTTATTGTGGACAAGGTTACTGAGTTTATGAGGGTTTGGGTTTTTTTTGCTTTTTCTGCAGTGCAGTGTGGATGGCATAATTTCGACTCCTATGACACATTAAGTCTTTATATTTCTCTGTTAATGTGTGTGTTATTGCAGCCCAGGGGCAGGAGGTGGGGTTTTGGGAAAGAAGAGGTGTGAACAAAGACTAAACCGTACACCCCGCAACTATGTTGTAGCCATATGGGGATTACCTGATCATGCAAGTCATTAAGAATTATATTCTTTGTAGAGCTAAAGTAGCATTAAGTAGAGCTTTAGAGAAATTAATATAAAAGTAGATTTCTTCCAACTGGAATCTTTTCTTGCATGTTTTGAATTTTTTCTATGTACTTCACCTTTTCTTTGATCTACAAACAAAACATCCTCCCACTGACTCCTGATGTGAGGCTGTCTTACATGTAGCACAAAATGTAATCTGTTTTTTGTTTCACATCCTCTACAGAGGGCATAAAGGCATGGACACATTACGGTCTAGTACTCGATTTGCATATTTTTGTACCAGTAAGAAATTTAATCCCTTAATCTTTCTGACCTTTCATTGATTTACTAACAGATTTTACTGTAATGTTTCTAAATGTTAAAACTGCTGTGTGATTGTGGTCATATAGTACTTATAGCTCTCTATATAGCCAGTTTTTAGCTTAAAATTAAATTGTATCTATTTTAAGTAAACTAAATCATTAAAACATATTACCTACATATTTTGCAAACCTAGTAATAGTATATGGCCACTGTTCACACAAATATGTTTCGCCATATGCCAGATAGTACACTTGGTCATGCCACTCAATAATCCTGATAAATCACTCAGTGTTCGAGAAACTAAAGATCCCCTGTGGCTGAGGGAAAGTTAGATAAAGAGGACAAGGAGCCAAGCAAATGTTACCATCCTTGCCATGAGGAATTTGATGCAACCAGCTGGTCAAAACCCCCTTACGTCTGGATCTCTAATTGTGGTATTTTCACTATGTATTTTGCAGCAGTTTGCTCTGGGTTTGCCAACAGCTGGAGAGTTTCAGCTAACATAGCTGCAGCCTCCTTGGTGAAGAGTGGGAGAAACCACCTAAGTAGTGATGGTTTCCAAAGTCACGTAACGCTTTGAAGGCTCAAAGCACATCTTGAGTTATACTGGGAAAGCGTTTGGCAGGCAGAGAAAGTGCGATAGTGGAAGATGGCACAGGCACCACTTCTATTTAAATACTGGCTGTTACTGCCTCGTGGCTTTCAATCTGGTGTGAATATTGAGCACACGTCAGTGGGCTAACTGGAAAGTACTGAATGGACGGATTGCCTCTGTAGGGGACGTGGTTTCTTGGCCTTTTGACCATAGCGTGTTTCTCATGTGGAAATTTGATCAGGTAAAGGGTGAGGGCATTAGACCTTGGTAACAAGCAGAAACATGGCTTGTATTCAGCTGGCTTTCATACCTCATCCTGTACCTTCATTTGCTAAAAACCCTTTGCAATCTCTTTCAGGCCTCGCAGGTGATGTGTTGTTACAGCTGTAGTATGGTATAAAAGCTTATTTGATTGTTCCACGTGGTTAGTCAAGAGCTAATGAGCTAATACAGCATTTTTAGAAAAAGCAAAGCACAACTTCCAGGCCAACAAAAATGTATATTCTTATCCAACATCTGAACTGACTTTGTTGACTAAAAATAGGTAACAGCCTGACAAATACCAGTCTGATAAGTGGTCTGAACAAATATTCCATATGGTAAGATCATTAGTGGACCTGTGTCGTGGTTTAACCCCAGCCGGCCGCTAAGTACCACGCAGCCACTCGCTCACCCCTCCCAGTGGGATGGGGGAGAGGATGGGAAGAGTAAAAGAGAGAACTCGTGCGTTGAGATAAAGACAGTTTAATAGGTAAAGCAAAAGCTGCACACGCAAGCAAAGCAAAAGGAGGAGTTCATTCGCTACTTCCCACTGGCAGGCAGGTGTTCAGCCATCTCCTGGAAAGCAGGGCTCCATCACACGTGATGGTTACTTGGGAAGACAAACTCCATCACGCTGAATGCCCCCCCCTTCCTTTTTGTCCCCCAGCTTTATAAGCTGACCCTGATGTCATATGGTGTGGGATAACCCTTTGGCCAGTTGGGGTCACCTGTCCCAGCTGTGTCCCCTCCCCGCTCCTTGTGCACCCCCAGCTGCTCGCTGGTGGGGTGGGGTGAGAAGCAGAAAAGGCCTTGACTCTGTGCAAGCACTGCTCAGCAGTAACCAGAACATCCCTGTGTTATCAACAGTTTCCAGCACAAATCCGAAACGTAGCCCCATACTAGCTACTCTGAAGAGAATTAACTCTCTCCCAGCCAAAACCAGCGCAACGTGTCATCCTGGTGGTGGATGACAAAGAAATTGCTCTGCTCTTCCAGTTTTTACATTAGGTATTTACACATCTTGAATAGGCTCTGACTTCACCTTGTTTTTCCTAAACTTTTTGGATTGAAGTGGGATGGTACAGCTTTGGCTAGTCCAGTGCTTTCCACAGGTCATCTCTGAGCAACGGCAGTTTCTTTTTTTTAGTTTGCTTTTTTTTTTTTAAGTATGCACATAACAAATTAACATTCAAACTCCAATGTACACCTGTGTGAGGGATAAGACAACTTAAGCTGTCATATCAGTCAAACAGCCTGACTAGGGTATTTGCTGGAATTAGCAGTTGGTTACTGAAATAGCCTTGCAGGCTCTTTTTCTTTACATCAAAACTAAATTGCAGCTCTCAGTCTGATCTGGGAAAATGAAGCAGATAGTCTGGGAGTTATTCTAGGAGCAAAACCACTCTTCCAATTAACTAAGCGTACAACAATCAGAGAGCTGGTTCTAGTGCAGATATCTAAACTTATTTTATTTGACTGACTTCAGCTTTAGTCAGGGCAATTTTCCTTGGACCTAATTATAAAAAGATTTATCCAAAACATCCTTTGCGGGACAGTTTAGGAAGAGTTTGGTTTTTACTACGCATCAGCTCTTGGGTTCTCGGCAGAGGAATCGGAAGCGCTGAGGACAGCGGCGGGGTTTGTGGTACCTTTCAAGGCAGCTAGAACCAGGGGGGCTGGCTGTAGGGTTTGCTTTGGTTTAAGATTGTCATGTAGAGTTACCTTATTTTAGCTTGAGATTAGAAGTGGGCATATTTCATCGTAATGGAGATGAAATTACTTGGGGTAAAAGATTCCAGAGAGCCCCAAATTATGAGGATTGTGATTTAAAATTACAATAAATGCAAAGTTTAGGTAAAACTTGAAGTTCCTTTATTTATCCTAGCTGGTACAAATGCTTAATAACCAAAAGCTTCACAACATATTGTTGGTAGGAAAGCACATGGTGTGTAAATTTTTGTGTGAGATGAACCTGAGAAGTCTTTGATCTCTAGTGTGATACATCCTTGCGAAGTAAACGCTTTTGCTTTGGTGTTTGGTGTAATATAAAGTCTTTTGACCGATATCTTACATTTCCATTGAGGTTTGGAAAAATAACATGCAAATTTGTACAGAAGTTTTGCCTATACATCTTAAGAGAAAACACCTAAATTGTGTTTAAAACTACCTATCCGAAATGCCCTATTGCAATCTATTAATTTAGTATTTCATCAGGGACCTGTTGCAGGGCAAAAATCTAAATTAATTGTTCCACAGTCTAAAGACTGCAATTTCACTTCAGAGCCAACCTTGCTTGATTAAATCCGCCTTAAATGAAACAGCCAAGAATTCTTTTGATTAAAGTTAATGAATAGAAGTTAGTGTGTATCTATCCCTTCATGCAATTAGAAATCAGTAGATAAGAATATAGGATCCTTTTTTTAAAATGAAATCATATGATGCATATTCCTTCATTTTTTTTAAGCAAAAACTTTGTAAAGGAAACACATGTCCCAAGAGATATGTGATTCAGTGAAGGTGTCTGTTCCTGTTTTAACTGCAGAATATCTTTTATTCCTTGGTGAGTTGCTAGATCTGTGGATTACAGTAAAAAGAAGTTTTCCTGAAATCCCAGCTTCTTTGGATACTGCATTTCTGTATCACATCATTCCCCTCATTATTTTTCTTCTTCTCCTGGACTCACGCTTTGTGGTACTAATGAAGAACGTTATTAGCCTCATTTTCCCATTGTGCAGCCAGAAAAACTGGGCAGGAGTCACTGTCTCAGCTGACATGGCGGATTGAGTTGTGTTTCTTGACTCCTTGGTCAGAAGCCTTGCAGCCATGGACCCACTAGGCCTCCTTTTCTACTCTTGCTGTCGCCAGCGTGCTTAGGAAAAAAACAATTGTTATGCTGACAAAAATCCCGACAGGTTGTTGCTTAAAGGAAAACAAAACCTCCCCCAAGCCTCAGCTGGTCTCCTTGTCTCTGTTCCCTATTCCCACTGCTGGATTTCCTCAGGTTTGTTTGTGGACAGCAAAGGGGAACAAGCAAAATCCCTGATCGGGGCTGCACCGACAGACAGCTCAGCAGTC